AAAACACCATAAATCCAATATCTTCTTGTCAACATGTAAAATGCGGATCCGAAGGTGCCATCTCATGGCAGTATCACTACATAGCTATGAAAATGTGATCCGGGAGAGTTTCTGAGACGTCCTTCAGGAGCGAGTAGTACCGTCGTGGGTGATTGAAATCCCCCCTAAATACCTCGGCTTGGGCACTGCGTGATAATCCAAGGCGGGGTAGCCGGTTTGCAGGTCCTGTCCCGGTTATTTCAACAATTTTCAGGGTCACAGAATTGTTCCCCTTCCCACATAAAGCCCATTTCTTTACTCCAATCATAATGACACTTTGATGGCCGTTTCTGATCGTTCTCTGAATTTTTTATCAGTTGTTTTCTAAGGAGTAGCTTTACATATTTGTAATGTGCAAGAGGGGATGGGACAGTGTAGGGATTGGGCTCACCCCTCAGGAACGCTCCGGCAGGAGTCTCATCCATAACTGAACGAACCCCTTGGCTTTAACTTCGGGTTTACGACCCTACTACTGTGTGTGCCCCTCGCTAACACTGGGGAATAACTGAACACCATGNTTTTTTTTTTTCGGAAAACTTCCTTCTAACTAACATTCTCGTCAGCTTTCTGCAGCACCTATCTGTCTTCTTACTTTACCACATAGTAGTCCGTTTTGATTTATGATTTCTTTTTAGTTTTATTCTTTTATTTATTTAACTTATCGAATAAAAAACCTGTACAATGGACACCGAGACGGTGCTGCTGTACCAAGATGGTATGATCCTCATTCCTTCCTGCTGTTTATTTTTTTCTGTTTTTCACTTTTTCGGAAAAAAAGTTGCTTACTTGGATAGAGGTTCAGTTCCGAACTATCCACCTTCCGTCATATAATCTATTCTACTTTATCGATCAATTCCGAAATCTTTCAACTTTTTATTACTAGCTGTTAGGCTGTTTAATCAAGTCCAATCGATATTCTTTATATAACGATTTTAATCTAATTCAGTCCAACATTACTATCAAAGTTTTTTGCACATGCAGACCAAAGTCCAGCCTTGTGATAATTGGTTATACGGCTGGTTTCATTTCCATGGATGATTCACGGTAGTGAAAATTCCTCGCTACAGGAATACCCTTCCGACGGAAGACTAGCTGCAGAAGGGAATAGGGACTGCCAGGGTTACCCTAGACGACAATGAGCTTGGCATTGAACTACCCTTCACATGGGTTGCGCCATGCGTCTAACTTCAATTCAGGAAATGACGGCTTTCCGTCCTGAACACAGGCTTTTCTCCGCATCCTTATCGCTTTCCCTACCCCTTTCTTTAAAAATGTAATATAAACCAGAGCATATCGCCGGAAATCTTCAAGTGTGTTTATTTGTTTACTGCCTACAGTTGTGATTTACAGGTTGAGCCATTCCTACTACTCAATGAAATGTGGTGCTCCTGGATTATGTTTCGCTAACGGCGCCTTTCACCCAGTTGAAGGAGGGCATCCGAGGTGAGTTCAGCCCAAATCGGTCACTTTTCTTTCCTCTGGTCATAAGATCTGACACTGGCTACGTTTATTGGCGATATGATGACATTAATGTTGACATTTTTGATAGTTTCTGCATTTCCTTTGTTTCTTGGCACACGCTTTCTTGTAGTTTTCGGAAATCTCAAGGATTGTAGGCAAAGTCAAATCGGACCTAATGTCACACTCTGCTAATTACGTCTAATTATTTGCGACTTTCTCATCGATAATTTGATTTTAGCATTGTTGATTTCTATAAGCAATGTATGCCACGTCTGATGAGCTACGTAATCGGTCCGATGCGATCGATGGCTATGGATGATGTGGAGTTCGTATTGCTGAAGGCGATTGTGTTTTTCGGTGAAGGTTTGTNGCCCTGACCTCGGAGCTTATCGGTACTGTCCCTATTACCGTACCGTAGGGGTCTGACCCCGGGCTATGCTTTCCACCAGCTTTCCACAGTATTCAATCAGGCACCGCGAAACTTTTAATCCCTTATGGGCACTAGTCTCACATGAATAACCTGAAAGAACGCTCAGATTTGAAAACCAACCCGATGTCTCTTAATTACGGCGCTCATGATTGACAGGGAAGTGAAGGGTGGATGTTTATCTGAACTATCAAACTCAAACACTACTATAACTATTGATTCTCTAATCAAAACCCATATGAGTTTTGCATGAGGTTTCTACTGTTGAAGAAGTGGACCTAAACTCCCGTTCTCCCGTTGTGCCCCTAACCTTTAGTGTCTCATCGCCATTTACTTTCAAGCCGCAGAACAATGAGTCTTTATAAAGCGTTTCATCAGAAATCTGATCTGAATCCACTAAATTTATCATTTTCATTGAGGTTCATAAAAGAATCGTTTCTCATCCGGCCTCGCTTCAGATTTCGGTCTGAGCTCCGAAGGGAAAAGTGTGGTGGCAAAAGGAAAAGAACGTTTCCTGAACGCCCTTTACGCCTATGTGAGAAGCCAGAAGGTGGACAATGCACCGCATGCCACTTGTCGCGTCGCCAAGTATATGCTGATGCTCTCCGCACTCACAGTGAGTTGCCACGCCCACCACCTGATCGCTCCGCCCACCAGACAATTGATTTTAGGCACTCTGTCATCTGTTGAACGAGGAAGTTCAAATGACAAGCCTTTTCAACATAATCGAATTTGACGAATTAATTCAAGCCTGCCACAAAACGAGTCCGCCACGCTCACGTTGAACGTCACGTTTTTTTTNTTTTTTTTGTTTGATTCATGGGGTGGAGGACTGATCTCAGATGCTCTGCCCCGAAAGATCATCACCAGCTTATCACTGCGACTTGATACAAAGTATGCGTATTGATTGTAGGCCTTGCGCATTTAGCCTAGGCTTTATGAATACTTTATTTATGTCTTCATTTAATGATTTTTTTCCTTTGCAAGTGATTCTCAGTGAAAGTACCTCGGCCCAGTCGAGTCGAGTTCGCTCCTATCGAATGCCTACTGTGTAGGCGAAATTCTTTTCATACGGTGATTTAATCATTTATCAATGATTATAGCAAGTAAAATTTGCAGATTATGTGATGATCTTTACTTTAATTTCCTTCCATTACTTGTTAAATCGTCATTCGAACGATTCTGAATGTTTTGAATTAGATTAGTTTTTCGTGTCAAGAGATTCTAGTGAAAATCTGATTCTGTGATAATTGTGTGTGATTCGCACTATTGATTTGTTGATTCAAATTATGTGTTATGTAATGATAATAGCTATTATGATTATGTGTATAGGCAGAGATAATGAAAGATTTTCTACCTGTTTACATATAATACGGTTGTAGAGACCGCACTTGCTGATGTATAACCTAGTCCGAAACTCGCATTCACGGTCAACCTAACAATCGTCTTCGGGGCTTCGGGATTGGTACGAGTAGCAATAATAGTAATCGACCTACTCTTACGAGATGGTCAGACTTCTTCACGAAAGCTTTTAACGAAAGGAATGCTAGGCCTCGTGTCCCTAAAGCGAGAACGACTCACTGGACCACTCTGACTCGTGACAGGGACGAATGGAGACGTTACTATAGGAAATCGACGGTATGACAGGTAATACAGGTGAATAATCGACCTTAGGAGGTAAGGAAGAAGAAGAAATACACTCTGAGCCGTGCTTTTTCCATCTATTCCTGGCAATTTCCTATATCTCTTTGACTGTTGTGTCTATGCCACCCGCCGTACATCCCCAACTCTTGCGAGACAAGCATATTCTGCAAGAGTTCGGGAGGTACGGCACAATCCCTTTATAGCAAAGTGTTTATTTTTTCTCGACGACGGTTCTGTCATTATCACTGTCCCTTCGTGCAATAGTGTTGTACATGGATAGTAAATGCTCAGTCGCCCATTCTCAGGTTTGTCCGTTTGCACCAGTGCCTAAGAAGGACGGAATATGACTGAAAGAAGAACTACATATTGTGGAGAATTCCTATTCTCAGTATTCTCGTGATCAAAGAAATGCCACGAAGTAGTCATAGTTCGATTATATGGGATAGGGCGGCTGATATTGATGACGGTGAGTAAGGCACGCACTATAAGACAAAAGTGACGGCCGATATGGGCTTTTATTCCACAAAAGTCAAAAGATAACCATGGTTACTGGGAAGAGGTCATATCTCTCAAAGAGGACCCGTCTGCCAGAAAAATTGTGTAATTTTCTTATGTAGAAGGGGATTTGCCATGACTGGCCAAGAACTGACTTAGGGTGGAAGTGGGTCCGGTGCAGACCTCAGTGAACCCTCTATTAAATATCCTTTCTGTAACCTGTTTTCGGAGGAATCAACCCCTTGATGTCTAGGGTTTCCGCAAGTGCTTTGATGCACCTTTACCCCCATTAGGATGTGACGCAACATGGGAAGCATGCTCCTATCACTTTATACACACATTGTAATAATTTATATCTGCATCGAGCACATATTTCAGCGCTTTTTTGCGAATGTTCCTATTCTTAGGAAATATTGCAAAAAAGTTTGACACTCATAGAAGACTAGTGATCTAACAAATGGACTCCTAGACGTAGCTAAATGTCATATATAGTATACCCTAATCGACTCTCTGTTACACTATTACTGCTTTGTCAACTGGACTATCAAGGGTAAGACAGGTACTTTGTATTGAAGGCTCTGCGTGACAGCCGTCTCCGAGCAGCTGGTGGCTGTTCCAAAGTATTTTCTACTCGTGTCACTGTACGATTCCATATCCCTGCTGCTACACCGTACAGTAATCCGTCGATGAGGCGTAATTCTTCTGGTTCAAGGTGATGCATACTGATCAGATTCTCGTGGAATATTGCTGGCCCCTGGAATTGATACTGTACTACTGCGGCACGTTAGAGCAGTGGTAAATAGTCATACCCCTCTTTTGCACACTCACATGTTCGAACCCTACTAACAGAGTGGACCAAGCCTGACTTCCCCTACCAGTAATCTAGCGCCAAATTCACTTGGGAGGTAATTTTCCATCATTTCTGCTTAGCTTCTACTTTTCCCGTTACCTATTAAATGGTGTAATATTACATCATGGTCCCAGGATCGAATCCCGGCTACACACCTCCAATCCAACTATGTCTTCCATCCTTTGGTGCAGGTCAACTGGTACCAGACTCAACCAAGAGAATAAAAGCACAGGTCTGAATTGGCTGGCCTTCGCAAACCTTTACATAGGCCATATATGCTTACAAACGTTTCCCCATTTCTGAACAGACGTTGAATAAGGGGCAGGTACCAGAACGGGATCGATCAACGTCAAAACTCTCTGCCCTTTCATCCAATATGCCTTCTAAAGGTCGCATGCGATCATACGGCTTGAGAAGTACGAGTAAGTTTGAAATGCATGGCGCGTCTCAAAGAAAGCAAACAAAGATTGATGACATACCCAGTGCTCAATGGGATCCATAAGAAACGACTTGGTCAGATCGGCTTGATAATGATCTTCAGGCTTCCATGGTAGAAATCTCTGTCTACGCTTTTCATCACGGCTATCTTCTGGATAAATGCCAACGTTGGCAAGACATCTGCAATGCTTAGTTATAAAGGAACGTCGTCATGGAGCTATTGTAAGGTTCAGCATTACCAACTTAATGATTACCTGGCAACTGCAAGATCTTCCCATTCGTGATAGGGGCACAACGATTTTTGATGGAACAGTTGTTCAGCGAAAATCTTCATAGCTGCTCGACTCATGGCGTAACCACTTCCACCCGCATTGTAGCCATGTTTTGGCTGGAAGGAACTATACGATAACGAAGAACTCGTAGAAATCCTTAATGGTTTACAGAGGATTTTTGAGGTACAAGAAGGTGTCTCTGTTTCTTCGCTTCTACACGTTTTGAAATCTGTCTACTATCTGAAAGGGCCATTCACTCACCATTCTCCTCTTCAGCCTGAACCCGATATAATGTGGTTCATTCGGGTTGAACGTTGCCAAGTAGGTTCGAAGATTCTCCATGATAACATATGTATCATCATCTGATTTATAGTACCTGGGAACATAATGGGATTAGTTTGTTGTTATTACCGTCAAAATAATTTGTTTCACTTCAGTGTTTAGAAAAGTAAGTGAAAGCAAATGAGGAGCGGCGTTGCATCATTTCGCTGCGCGACGCGACCGCCCGCTCCCCCGCATAACACCAGTCAATGACGCCACGTCACGCTGAACTCCTGCCGCGTGCACGCGCCTCGGCCTATCACCAACCCTGTTCCCACTCCTTGACCAGTATGATTTATCATGAACTATATGGCTAGTATTTTTGATAACACCCAAGCTACAAATCATGTGTCCCGCTCGGGAAAATAGGCGATTATTCCAAACTATGACCTCCATAAAATTCATATTAGACACCGAACTCACCAGTCGTAGTTCGAGGAAATATTAGTATAAACATAGTATAAAGCTAAACGCGTTTTCCAGAATAATTTGAAGTAGCTATCCGGCAATTCTGCGAATATCGTATGATACGGTGTGAAGTTATCCAGAAATCGATCGTTATTGGTGAGGAAATGCGACGCGTCGCATCGCCGCAACCATGTCGAATTAATAGCGCGGACCTAAATGTACCCTCGTTTGTTAACTTATCGAATGATTCTTATAATAAAATATATCATCACTAATTAAATGATCAAAGAGATAGGAAATAACATTTATTTATTTGTTTAATTAATTAATTATTTATTTACTTATTCAATTATCCGTTGGATGGTCACTGACTGGACCCTCGGGACGTCAAATGAGTAAGAGGACGGCTGTCAGTCCAAGATCAAACTTCTTCTCGGAGGCTCCGTACTCACTCGAGCGGGGGCGACTCACTGGACTGGTTTGGTTCGCGACAGGAACGAATGGAGACGTCACCGGCGCCCGCTCGAGGCAATCGATGATCAGCGGGACGACAAGTGGTACAGGGGATATATACAGTGTGACAAATAATTATTTCATTAAACATAACAAAAAATAGAGTAACTAATAAAGTATTCTATTCGAAAAAAATGAAAGGAAACTTCAAAAAATGTACTGGGTGGGTACCAACCCGTGTCTTATGATAAATTGAAGTCGTCATCACCCAGCATAATATCGATCCGAATCGCCTCTGAGATAGTGCAGCATCAGAAACTTTGACGTCCCGAAGAGCATTCTCATTGTAAATCCTATAAAAACACTATGATGTTCGGACACCTTTTTAAATCAAAATTTCATGGGATACGCTATGCCTTTGATATTATAGTTGAATTTGTATGAACTTTAGTCATAGGTATCGCCACGTTTGCAAAAACTGCATCAGAAGAAGTTCATGAAGAGTTGTGATAGTAAGAGCGATGCACTTACTTGCTGCGCGACGCAAATGCGCGCTTCACGAGCAGTTGAGCCGCACCTTTTACCTTTTATCAGGAATATTGAAAAATCATAGGGTTTGAGCATGTGTTATATCCGGTCATCCCTTCGCTTATGAAATCATAGTTGAACGAAAGCCAAGGATTCACCAGTAAAACCAGGCGCTCTGATACGATCGCCCGCAGCGCAGGGCGCGTCACATTATGGCGATATGGTAATGGACGAGATAGCGATCTTCAATACTTTTTAACTGCACCGACACCTTTTGGGTGAGTCGAGCAGAGGAAATGAGTCATACTGTAAAATGGCCTGAGCATAACGCCAACCAGTGGCCGTAGATATGGCTTGGTTTACTTGGATGGTATCGATCTGGGTTTCGCCCCTGGATGCAATAGTGAGCGCCACATGCCACCACACCACCGAAGAATTTGAATATTTGATGCAAATTTGATTGTAAATGACAAGGAAATAAACNGGGGAAAGGAAAAAGTGAACTTCTAGCGTATCTGAGATAAAAATGGAATGACTGAGATAGTGAAAGTTGGGAAAAGGAACTGAAGTTGCTTACTCGAATCCGCTGTCATCGATGGGTACAAATGAGACGAGTTCGATGCCAGTTTTGTATTGAACTTCGTATAAAATGTACAAGACTATAAACAGAAACCATAAGGCGGCAATCGCATACGATGCTCTCCATCGTCGTATTCGATGCCAACGGGATCGACCGATTGCAAAGATCTGAAAAGGTTAATTGAAAACTTAATTAAAAGAATTGGAAGAATTGAATTGAAGGACTCAAAGATTTGAGAATTTGAATGCCATTTTGTTAAAGTATACATCAGCCGAAGGTGTCCACCATTTGACAAAGCGCCTAAAAGGAACTCTCGCCGCCTCCGAGGAAGGAATGTAAATGTCATCCTTCCTAGGCCATACTGCGCGCTAGCTGTCGCGGCTATTCGCGTTGGGACCTTGCGACAGGTTGATAGGCGCTTACAGGTGCGCCACTGACGGTTATCAAACAAATGTCACTTGTAGTGGGGTCCGTTTTCTGAGTGGCGGGATTTTTTGACTTTTAAGGCAGTCCCTTAATGGCAGTATAGTAGTCCCGGAACCAAAGATGTAGGAATGCTCTCATCTAATGTGCTTTGGCTATGAGATTTCACCGCTTAAGCGTAATTTTCAGATGAAATTTACGATAAACATGAACATCTAAAAATTCAAGCGAAAGATCCAAAAGATAACACCGCGAAATCCAAGTCAATAATTTTTAAATCCCCTCAATCGATAACACTATCGTTCTACTGCTAAGTTGGCAACTAAGTAATTGAAAGATGAGGAAGAAGGTTGTTGGCGCTTACCAGTCCCGTTAGGGATGCGCCCACACATTCGACTTCCACTCAGAATCCTAGTTGCGTTGAATGCGTATTTGGCCTGTACAGTGATTGCGGTGGCCAGCCGATGTCAAGTCAGTGCTTTTATCCTCCCAGACGGGTCTGGTACCAATTCCCCAATCCCGCAGAAATCGAAGGCTTCGTTGGCTTAGTCGGATATCGATCCGGGATTCGAACCAGTGACCATGTGTTGTGTGATAGTGCGCCATATGCCGCTACACCACCCCGCTCACCACATCTATTTGATAATTTACCCTGGAGAAAGAGTAGATGCCCTCCGAGGTAAATGTTCGAAATGCCAACCTATGTCTTCACTGATGTAGGCAAACTCACAGCAGCCTATTTCCCTTCGCATTTTGTTGCCTTTACTTAACTGTAGCCCTAACTCTACTGAAACTGGGTTTTCATGAAGGTGAAGCTCAGAAACAAGTTGCAAAAAAGTGAGGGAATAAAA